AAGAAGAAAGAAAGAAAGAAAGAAAGAAAGAAAGAAAGAAAGAAAGAAAGAAAGAAAAATGAATTCAGTTCCTGTCTCTGTCCCTCACCACAACAGGGATGACCCTGAAGTTATTTCTTAATTCTGATCTTGGTGTCGATATTCACATTACCTCTGCCGAGAAAGAACTTTGTAAAATACTGTTGAAGGATGAGTGGTCTTTGTAACTAAGTAGTAGAGAATGGGGAAACATGAATCAAGAAATCATGAACCCACAGTGTAGTGACTTATTGATGGCAGCAGATAATAGTTGCCTAGGAGAAGCTCCAAATGGTCAGAATGCCCTGCAGTCTTTGCTGAAAGGCAATTCTTCTCTATACTTTACTAATTTCTGTGATTTTTCAGAACAAGCATCTTCGGTGAGAGAAACCAGTTACCTACCCTACCTACTAGGAGCATTTTTATCCATATTGGCAAGAACTAGCCACTAGCCTTATGTAGGCAGTATGATTTGAGACTTATTTTCCTTTACTGTCCCATGGTCTCCTGTGTGTGTGTGTGTGTGTGTGTGTGTGTGTGTGTGTGTGTGTGTGTGTTATAGAGTCTATAATCTGAAGAACTTAAGTGGTCACTGTGCCTACTCCATTGGTGCTTTGGTGGCCGTGTGGTATTGGTAAAATTCAGGGTCTCACATATGCATTGCACTCTATCACTTGATACTACACAGTACTCAGTATGTTATTTAGCCACCAAAATGTATGTGATGTTAGATGTTTATCTTACCATTACAAGGGCCTACATATCATTTAGAGTAATAAAATTAACTTAGGGAATCTAACAAAACAAACAAGAACAATCAGATGACATCTGCTGTGCTTTTACTAATGCTGTTGCAAACATCAAGGATCATCTTTCAGAAACATTCATTCATGTTTATTCTGTGATGAATCAGGTATAGTCCTCTTTTTCCTTCAAGGGGTTCTCATCTTTCGAGGACAGGAAAGGACAAGAATATTAAGTTATTAGTGATATAAAAACAGTTGAAGACCAGGCCTTCAGTTTTGGAGTTAAGAACTCTGGGGTGATTAGCTGGATTTGTGACAGGGGTAATTAGGACATTTTCAGGACATGACAATCTTTTACTTTTGTGTCTTTTACTTCTGTGTAGAAAGGGTTGCTGATAACGGTTGTGCAAAGTTACAAACAAAACAAACAAACAAACACTGTCCTCCCGTTGTTCATCGATTTGCTCGAGCGGGCCCAGTAACGTCTCCATTTTTGAGACTTGTTGTTACTGTGTCTGGCATATTGAATACATCACAGGTAGCTTGCCAGGCTTTGCCGTGCGGGCACGATACTCTCCGTAGCTTGCCGGGCTCTTCGCGAGAGGGGTGGAGGAATCGAACCCAGCTTGGCTGGGCTGGCTGCACAGAAGGCAAACACCCTACCGCTGTGCTATCGCTCCAGCTGTGCAAAGTTACAATGAAAACATTTTCCTAATGATAAAGTGAAGAGCTCTGTTATACAAATGAATTTGTCACTCTGGAAACTTACGACTAATAGAGTAACTACAAATAGTAAGTATTAGTAGAACTTACTATGAATAGCATATCGATTATAGGGTTATACTCAAAATACCTTTGCATTTTTATGCTTGGATATTTAGGATCTACCCACCTTCTCAAGTCAGACAACATATGGAGAGGGTCATTAATCAAGAGGGTCTTTAATCCTGGGTCTGCATAGTCAGTAGGTTGGAGGAAGGAAACACATTGTAATCCTCATTTATCTCTCTAGAGTCTTCCTGACGCAAAGGTGACTTGTCCCTGAGTGAAGTTTAAGATTTGTTCTCTTTGTAACAAATTTATGACAAAAGGCCATTCCACTGTTTCTGATAATCACTGCCAGGAAATAGCCTCTTATCAACTCTGGAAGAAAATTTCCACAAAGGAACACTTAACCATGGAGAAGAAGGCTGCCTGTTTTCTAGACTTAGTCACTGGCACTGTAACATTTGGCCACTATAAGGCTCTTATCTTTTGAGGAATACACAGTTATCACACTGTGTTTTCTGATTCCATTAAAATACATGGCTTCCCCACATCTTCCAAAAATATTCAATATTAAAAGGAATGAGGGGGCTTCTCTTAACATATTTCTACACAACCTGGAAATATCATTCAACTTTTACTTTGTTTTTGTGCTTATCTAAAAACATTTCAACCAGAAATCACAACAGAATAGGAAAGAGTTATAGTGAAAGGGCAGTGCAACCACAGGAAATGAAGGAGAAGCGTGTCTAGAAATTTTTACATTTGAGGAAGAAAACTATCATGATATTGTAGAAAGTGCCTAGTCAGGGCTAAAGCCAATAGAATCTGATGAAAGGACCAGATTCCTTTGACGTGCACAGGAAAGAAATTCAAGTATGAGCCAAAGAATTAAAGAATAGAAACAGGTTCTTAGAGAACAATATACAGTTAAGGATCAGGGTGTAGGCTTACTCAGAGAGAGAGTAGCATTGTTTCAACATAACACAGTTTACTAAAAGTAATAGTACACATTCTAAGAGTATGTGCACACTCTAGAGAGAGTAGCATTATTTCAACAAACTTCTAGGCTATATAGGAATAGATTTTTACAGGAATAGAAAGAGGGTAAATTCAGAAGGGGTTTAATATTCCTTATATTCCAAAGGGTTTTGGAGTGTTGATTTCCTACAAAGTGCTACACAGATTTCACTCATATCTGATCACTTCCTGGGATCACCATGGCACCAGTGGGTGTGCTCTGATATAATAAAAATGTAGCATAATGAATATATAATGAAGTTAGAAGTCATCAGTGGATCATTTAGTTCTTCATCTTGGATTTTCTTGGACTCCACTGATCTTAGGTTCTAACCTGTCTTGGACCTCATTGTTCTCATCTCTAATATATTAACTCCTGTGGCAAAAACAAATTAAAATTACCAGCATTATATATGACTATGTAAGAGAGAAACAAAAAACAGGAACTATCAAAGAAAGAAGGGTTGTGACATCAATATATTAAAGGACAGGGTATATAGTTACTACTTATTAGGAACAAAGATATTTGATTGAGGGAATGTTGTGTTGCTAAGTTTTGCAAAGTTTTCAAAAGGGAATTTTTTTCTTGAGAGGCAAAGTTTTCTGATTCCTGGCTCAATATAAAAGTGAAGGAAAAGATTCAGAAAATCAACAGAACGGGGTAAAGGGAGTGAGCAAGGGAAGTATGTCAGATACTAAAATAAGTGAAAAATTACAATATATAAAAACTTCAACAATGAATCAAGTGCCAGTAGAGAAATGCTTATGTCTTTCTGCAGAGTTTCTGATGAAAAGAGCAAATGAGGTACAGAGTTAGCTAGAAGCCTTCCCACACCTCGAGTTTTCTTTCTCATCCTAACAGACTACCTTTTCTCTTTGTTGCTGTCAATCTCTTCATGCAACTCTCTCTGTCAGACTTCTACAGCAATGTTCATTCTTTTTACTATTTTTGTCTTTCAGTCCCTCTTCTTCTAAGTAAAATAAATTCTTGGAAGACAGCTTAGTCCTTGGAGGGAGAGATTTGATCAACTTTTTGAAAAGGCCCTCCCGTTGATCATCGATTTGCTCGAGCGGGCCCAGTAACGTCTCCATTGGAGACTTTGTTGTTACTGTGTTTGGAATATGGAATACATCATGGGGAGCTTGCCAGGTTTGAAACTTATACAGAAAAACATTCCCAGGAGTGACTTTCTCATCAAAATGTTACCTGTAACCCAAGACCTTCTGAAGTCCTTGTAATTCCTACTATTTTTTTTTGTTGGTGATTGAAATACAGTACTGGTCGTCTAATGACAAAGGTTCTTTTTCTCAGTTCCATGAAACTCACGTGATTTGTTGTATTTTTTGCTTTATACAAGGAATTACCATATTTCTTTAATAAAGTGTTACCTTATTTCTAATTTTTAAAAAAAATGGGGGAAAAAAAAACTAAGCCATGAAAGTGGGACCGCACCGCTAGCCAAACTTTCAGGCTTCAGTATTTACATTGCACGGATCAGAATGTGCTCTCTAGCGACGTTTTACATAATCAAAAATGTGAAACAAACGAAGCGTTGAGGAAGTCGTGTAGGGCAAAAACTAAAAAAGCGTTTTTGAAGAGAAACAACGACGCCTCTCTCCTAGCTCCAGAAACCGCCGCTTCTTACAGAAGCCACAGGGTTTCACTGTTATTCACCAGGCTGGAGGCCGGAAGCGCGAGGTTCGCCGCTGAGAGTGGGCCGCGCTCGGCGACCGGAAGTGGCTCCTTCCGCCGCGCCACCTAATATCCGCGCCCGGAATCCGGCCATTTCCGTGCCGCAAGCGCTAGACCCGGCTCGCGCCTGCCGCACCCACCTCCGCGGCCCGCGAGCTCCCACCCTCCCCGGCCCCGCCCTTCCCGGCTCCAGTAAGTCCCTCCCCCACCCCTCACCCCCAACCCCCGACTGGCCCCCCGCGGTCGCGCAGCCGCTGTAGCCGCTGCGGCCGCTCCTAGCCCGGGGGATCCTGGGACTGGGCGCTCTCGGCAGGGCTGGCTCGGCGTCCGGAGCTAGGCCGCATCCCAGGCCCAGTCAGGCCCAGCCCCGGGTTCTAGGCCTTTGCTTCAAGACCGGCCTGCGGTCGCGGCGACGCTCGGCTGATCGCGTTGGGCGCGGCGGGCGGCTCGCGGAAGGGGCCGGCCTCGCGCTGAGGGGAGCGGCGGAGGCGCAGGACGTGGCGGCGCCTCCCCCTTGGCCCCGAGCGGAACTGCCGGAGGAGCGGCGGCGCAGGCCCGACGGGGTGAACCGGGTCACTTAACTGCCTTCTGCCGATGAATCATCCACACAAGCATCGGATTTGAGGTTTCCCGGCTCCCGAACGGTGGATGACTGGTTAGTGCGTTCGGAGAGGGCGGTGGGGGCGTCCGGTGGCGGCTTGCCCCCAGGAGGAGAGCGAGCTCCCCGGTGCTCTGTCGCAGCCCGGTCCTTCTTCTCGGGCGAATAATCGTGGTGCCCCGGGGAAGGCTTTCCCATGAAAGTGTCCCTCGGTAACGGAGAAATGGGCGTCTCCTCCCATCTGCAGCCTTGCAAGGCCGGAACCACTCGCTTCTTTACCAGCAATACTCACAGTTCGGTGGTATTGCAAGGGTTTGATCAGCTGAGAATAGAGGGGTTGCTCTGTGACGTGACCCTCGTTCCGGGGGATGGCGATGAGATCTTCCCCGTGCACAGAGCAATGATGGCGTCCGCCAGCGATTATTTCAAGGCCATGTTCACAGGTGGAATGAAAGAGCAAGACCTGATGTGCATTAAGCTCCACGGGGTGAACAAGGTTGGCCTGAAGAAGATTATTGATTTCATTTATACCGCAAAGCTGTCTCTTAACATGGACAATCTTCAGGACACGCTTGAAGCTGCCAGCTTTTTGCAGATTTTGCCGGTCTTGGACTTCTGTAAAGTCTTTCTCATATCCGGAGTGTCTCTAGATAACTGTGTTGAAGTTGGACGAATCGCCAACACCTACAACCTTATAGAAGTGGATAAATACGTCAATAGTTTTATCCTGAAGAATTTCCCTGCATTGTTGAGCACCGGGGAGTTTCTGAAGCTCCCCTTTGAACGGCTTGCCTTTGTGCTTTCCAGTAATAGCCTAAAGCACTGCAGTGAACTTGAACTCTTTAAGGCGGCCTGTCGCTGGCTGAGACTGGAAGACCCGCGGATGGATTATGCTGCAAAATTAATGAAGAATATTCGATTTCCGCTGATGACACCGCAGGACCTCATCAATTACGTGCAGACGGTAGATTTCATGAGAACGGACAATACCTGTGTGAATTTGCTTTTGGAAGCCAGCAATTACCAAATGATGCCATATATGCAGCCAGTGATGCAGTCAGACAGAACTGCAATTCGGTCTGACTCAACTCACTTGGTTACATTAGGAGGAGTTTTGAGGCAGCAGCTTGTTGTCAGTAAAGAATTAAGGATGTATGATGAAAGGGCTCGAGAGTGGAGATCTTTAGCTCCCATGGATGCCCCTCGTTACCAGCATGGCATTGCTGTTATTGGAAACTTCCTTTATGTAGTCGGTGGACAAAGTAATTATGATACCAAAGGAAAGACTGCCGTTGATACAGTTTTCAGATTTGATCCTCGGTATAATAAATGGATGCAGGTTGCATCCTTAAATGAGAAGCGCACGTTCTTTCACTTGAGTGCTCTCAAAGGACATCTGTATGCCGTTGGTGGTCGCAGTGCAGCTGGGGAACTGGCAACTGTTGAATGTTACAACCCAAGAATGAATGAGTGGAGCTATGTTGCAAAAATGAGTGAACCCCACTATGGTCATGCTGGAACAGTGTATGGGGGCTTAATGTATATATCAGGAGGAATTACTCATGACACTTTCCAAAATGAGCTCATGTGTTTTGACCCAGATACAGACAAATGGACACAGAAGGCTCCAATGACTACAGTCAGAGGACTGCATTGTATGTGCACAGTTGGAGACAAGCTCTATGTCATTGGTGGTAATCACTTCAGAGGAACAAGTGATTATGATGATGTTCTAAGCTGTGAATACTATTCACCAACCCTTGACCAGTGGACACCAATTGCTGCTATGTTAAGAGGTCAGAGTGATGTTGGAGTTGCTGTCTTTGAGAATAAAATCTATGTTGTAGGTGGATATTCTTGGAATAATCGTTGTATGGTAGAAATTGTCCAGAAATATGACCCAGAAAAGGATGAGTGGCATAAAGTTTTTGACCTTCCAGAATCACTTGGTGGTATTCGAGCTTGTACGCTCACAGTTTTCCCACCTGAAGAAAACCCCGGATCACCTTCTAGAGAATCACCTCTTTCAGCACCTTCAGATCATTCTTAGGACTGAAGTGTAATATGTTTGCTGTGCATTGTGGATGATCTCAAACTTTCCCTTGAGTTAGGTCTTAGAACAGTTATTAGGTAAAAAGGTAGCATACTGTATGTTTATTAAGTGGTTACTAACTATTCTGAAAATGTATTGGCTATAACCAGTTATTCTGACAAATGTTAAAAACGTAGAAAAATGTTAGTTGTCTTTTTGTGGTGGTGTGTCAAATTGTAGTTGATGGTAATAAATGTCTAATTATGGTCATTGTGCTTCAAAGTTGGAATTTTTTATCTTTGTAAAATATCAAAAGAAACTATGTTCCAACCTAAAATGTAAACAAAAGGCTGCCAAGTGTTAGCTACCGTCCTTTATTCATAGAGTTTTTAACATAGCTGCCAATTCACCAGATTGTGTGAGTACATTCAAAATATGTGAAGTTTCTTAGGGAAACAGGAGAAATAATACATTTTTAAAATACTAAAATAGGTAAGCAATTGTTTCCTTCTGCTTAGCAGCTATTTCTGTTTAAATGGAATCCAGTACCAGAGAATAAATGTAGATAAGGTTATAACATATTGACAGTCACATTTGTCATTTGACTAAATTGTTTCAGATGCAGCATTACTTTTTCTGCTTGTATAACGTTTGCTGTAATGTTTTTATACCAGTTAGCAAAGTTCAGGCTTCAGAAAAATGTTCTTGGCTCAGTTATTATAGACGCCGATGTTTTCTATCTTTCTGTGAGATAAAACCTGTGGCATGGGGAAAAAAAGCAAAGAACACTGAACAGATACAGGATTTTAAGTTTCATTTCCCATGTTAGCCATCCTAACATAATTTGGTTTTTTTTTTTTTTTTTTTTTTGGTGGTTGCCCTGGTGCTCATTCCCTGTGTATCCTATACTTTATATGACCTGCTTCAAGGCTGTAAACAAGCTGGAGATATATTTTGTCCTGCATTAATGCAAAAAATGTTATTAGACCTTGTCTAAAGTATAGGACCAACTTCAGATTGTTTAGGAAGCAGCTACAGAAGGCCTAGGATGCTGCTCACAGGCAAGCAGTACTAGAGATTAATAACCTCTTGAATAGCAAGGGCATCTCTACTGTTTGTAAATCACATAGGGAAATCTTAATGGGATCATTTCAACTAGAGAACTACTAGGTGTCTCTAGTGAGTTAGTCTTTCCTATAATTTTTTACCTACAAGAATTACATACATACTTTTCCATGTGTATTTATGCACGTGTATATCCTTATACTAGGAAGATTGTCAGAGTGTAAGGAACAACCTCTGTATTGACAATGCCATAATAAACTGATAAACCAAGGGAAACAGAATTGGTTTCCAAGAATTTGACCCTTACTACCCATACAAGTGTTGATTCATTTTAATGCTTCCCCCCTAATTTCTGTATAGTTATTTTTTGTGTTGTTCTATTTTTTTGTTCTTGTTTTTTGGTGACACTTTTTTTTTTAAACATAAAAAGCACTTTGGGTGCATTTAGAAAAGGGAAAAGTAGAAATTGCTTTGAACTTTGTGCATTGAGTAAGCAAGAAGTGGTATCCAATGTTTTATTCCTTGATTATTAATAAGGATATTGTATTTAATACTGTGTTTCCTTGATCAAAATTGCATGTCCTTTGCCCTTGTAATATCTATTGGTGTTGCTTTGTTTGTCATACTGTTATAGGATCTGTTTGTGTATTAAAAAGCTTTACTGGTATTGCTTCTACTTTTTTCTCCCTTTATTACAAAGGTGGGACCATTCATTTCATTTTGGTTCCTTTGGGTTTTTTTTTTTTTTGGCCATCCCTGGCTTTGCTCAGAGCTTATTCCTGTCTCTGCCTCAGATCACCCTGGAGATGCTTGGAGCGCCATATGGGATCCCAGGGATTAACAAGGCAAGCACCCTGGCCACCCGTGCTTTACTACCTCCTGACTATTCAGTTCATTTTGTGGTTGGGTTTTTTTGGGGAGAGGGGAGGGAAGTTTGGGACCACCCTCAGTGATGCTCAGGACCTAGTCTTGCCTCAGTGCTTAGGACTCACTCCTGGTAGACTCAGGAGACCCTATGGAGTACAGGGTATTGAACCATATAAGCACATTACGTGTTGTACTGTTCCTGCATTTAGTTCATTTTTGAGTCAAATTTGTTCATCATTTTGGCCTTAGGGATAATTTTGTTGTAGTTCATTTAAATTATTTAAATTTGGTGTTTTGGTGGGGGGGGTTGTCTTATTGCTTTGTTGATGGGAGGAGCCTTTGGGCCACTTCTGGCCTTGCTTGAGGGTTGCCCTGCTTGAGGGTTATCTTCCTGTTCTTTTATAGTTTACATAATACTAACATATTTTTTGGGTGCTGATTCTGACATACTAAAGTGATTATTGCCACGTTTGTCTACTACCTTTTGTTGAAAAAAGAATTTCTGCATTCTGTGAAGTTTGATGCTGTTGCAACTGACAGCTCTTGGCAGTCTTTTTTTTTTTTTTCTTTTGGGTCACACCCAGCGATGCACAGGGATTACTCCTGACTCTGGCTCTCAGGAATTACTTCTGGCGGTGCTCAGGGGACCATATGGGATGCTGGGAATCGAACCTGGATTGGCCGCATACAAGGCAAACGCCCTACCTTCTGTGCTATCGCTCCAGCCCTGCTCTTGGCAATCTTAAAATAGCTGTTCTATGTTGCGTGAATACTACTAATATGGAATTTCACCTATATGAAAATTTGGTGAGAATGCATTTTTTTCAAAAGCTGATTTTTTTAAATTTTTATTTTATTTTTATTTTTTAATTATTAGTGGAACACCATGAGGTACAGGTGTGGACTTACAAATTTTTGTGCTTGGGTTTCAATTATACAATGATTGAGTACCCATCCCTCTACCAGTGCCCATTTTCTACCACCATTGATCCCAGTATCTCTCCCACCCACCCCCCATCTTCGCATCCCATCCTGCCTCTGCCCTTTTGTTCTCTCTCCTTTTGGGTGCTGTGTTTTGCATTGAGTGGCAATCATCTTTGGTCTATAGTCTACATTCAGAATGCATCTCCCATCCTGGGAGGATCCTCCCAACACCTTTATTTGGTGCTCCCTTCTCTACCTGAGCTGCCTTTTCCCTTATCATGTGTGGATGGCCTCCAAACCATGGAGTGAACCTCCTGGTACTTATCTCGGCTATTCTTGGGTTAGTCTCCTATTTTGTTACTTTATGTTCCCCAGATAAATGCAATCTTTCTATGTCTTTCCTTCTCTTTCTGACTCATTTTGCTTAGCATGATACTTTCCATGTAGTACCACTTGTATGTAAATTTCATGACTTCATCTTTTCTAACAGAAAAGCTGATAATTTTTTGAATAAGAAATTAGATTTGGAAAAATACTTAAAAGAACACTTGGAACTGCAAATGTATAAAGCATTCTGTTAGTATTTAATTTCTTGGGCTGGAGAGATAGTACAGCAGGTAGGGTGCATGGCCTTGCATGCAACTGACCCAGCTTCAATCTTTGACACCACTTGTAGTCTCCAGAGCACCATCAGGAATGATCACTGAGCACAGAGCCTGGAGTACGCCCAAAACATTGCTGGGTGTGGCCCCAAAACAAAAAACATTTCCAGTCTTGAATTTTTGTTTTGTTCTGTTTGGGGGCCACACCCAACTGTGCTCAGGACTTACTCTTGGCTCTGTGTTTAGGGATCATTCTAGGCAGGCTTTGGGGACCAAATAGGGTGCTGGGTACTGGGATTGAACCCGGGTCAAACCTTGTGCAAGACAAAAATCCCCCCGCCCCCCCCCCCCCCAGCCCCGCTTGAATTTTATAGCACAGCTGGTAGGGTGTTTGTCTTGCAAGCAGTCAACATGGATGAACAACGGGAGGACAGTGACAGTGAAGCTTAATTGTATCTCTAGTAGCCTGTTATTAAGCATATCTTTGAATGGGAGAATGGTGTAGTTAGGACAGATTTAAGATGATTCAAGGTGATTGCAGACTGTTGAAGTCCTGCACTAAAGGAGGGCTAATGTGCACTAAATAGTCAATTCATTTTTTTTTTTGTAATGAGCCCTGAGCAACTGATTGCTGGGACTGATGCTATTCTGCCACCTACTGATTGAAGTTAGAAGTCCCTGTTTACATATGTCTGAGTACATTTAAATAAAATGGTAATATAAACAAAGCAGAAACAGAGCATTTCAGAAACTCAGAAGTCTTCAGACCATATTCCTCCTGTTGTTCATCGATTTGCTCTAGCGGGCCCAGTAACGTCTCCATTGTGAGACTTGTTACTGTGTTTGGCATTTCCAATACGTCATGGGTAACTTGCCAGGCTTTGCCACGCAGGCAAGATACTCTCGGTAGCTTGCCTGGCTCTCCGAGAGAGGCGGAGGAATAGAACTCAGGTCAGCCTGGTTGGCCGTGTGCAAGGTAAACACCCTACCCACCGTGCTATCAGATACAATTCAAATTCTACTTGACTTTCTGTCAATCTAAAATCCTTTCTCAATAAATCTGCCTGAGATGACTTCAAAAATTTTAAAGGTTTAAAAGTAGTATACCTGGGGCTGGAGAGATAGCACAGTGGGTAGGGCGTTTGCCTTGCACGCGGCCGACCCGGGTTCAATTCCCAGCATCCCATATGGTCCCCTGAGCAGTGCCAGGAGTAACTCCTGAGTGTAGAGCCAGGAGTAACCCCTGTGCATTGCCAGGTGTGACCCAAAAAGCAAAAATAAATAAATAAAAGTAGTATACCTTGGGCAACGGACATGGCTCAGAGAGGGAGAATGCATATTTTTCATGTTGAAATTTGGGTTTGATCCCCAGCAATACAAAGTCCTCCAAGTCACATAGGCGCATCCTCTAAGTCTGGTATCATTTTAGTACCATTGATATTGTCCCCAAACCAAATAAGTTGGTAGGCCCATGACTGCACTGACAAATTCGTCCCATTCATCTTTAAGAACAAGTGGGAACAAACCTTATCAACTATTGAGTGCTAGGGAGATAGAGGCTAAGGTGCTTATCTTGAGTATGACTGACCCCCAGTTCAATCCCCACTGACCCCCTAGTTCAATCCTCAGTATTTCCCCCAAGTACTGCCAAGAGTGAGCACTGCTGGGTGTGGTCCCAAAGCACTTTCCCCCAAAGTATGAACTCAAGGCACAGATTACTGCACAGTGATAAATGCTATGAAAATTAAACATAGTGTGTTACATGAGAACTAAGTTTGGGTGGGGGAGAAAGAGCTAGATGTTATCTTTGCCAAGTTATTTTGTTATCTCCTTTAATCTTAATAATACTTTTTTCAGGTTATCATCCTTTTGCACATGAGGAAAACTTGGCTTCAAGTTTTCCTCAGACCATACTCAATTACATAAATATCAAATATTGATGCTAATTTTTGATGTAATTCTTGGTTAAATGTCAGGAGATGAATTTCTGCATCATAAGAATACAGATTTACTGAAATCTGTGTTTAGTCTTT